GGGGTGGGCAAAAGCATCATTTGTCTGTCTGCGTGTTTGAAATTCAGTTTTCTGCACCGCCTCGATCCTKCCCATTTTTTGTTTGTGCGTCGATCTCTCACAAATCTCTGCATAACAAGATGTCAGATCAGAAGAATGACAGAGAGGTGCCGCCGAGTCGCAGGAAAAGTGGTAAAGGGGGGGACCAGACTACATCCTCATTAACATAATAGGACTGGGTGTGTTCAGAGAAGTGTTACTTTTTATGGTTGACACCTACTCTGCGATTGTTGTCTGGTACCTGGAAAAGCTAATAATATGGATTTTTTTTCACATACCATAGGGGATACATTTTATGAGGCTCTGAAGTACAGGCAGCAAATTAAAAGTTAAAGTAAAAGTAATATTTAGACCACTTGACAGATTTATATTTATACATTTTTTTAATCTCGAACACAAACATGTCACTGTGTATGCTGTGGCACATTACCACTGTAGCAGTTTGGTTCTGTATCAGGTTTGAACGTAAAGTTTGTGCTGGGCCACTGATTAAATGTGAGGGGTCACACGGAGTATTTGCGAGCCGGATTGGATGTTATTGGACTATTAGTTTAAAAGACCTTGGAGCTATTGGACTATCTAAACATTTACAGAACCTTGGTACATACAGTAGAAAACTGAGCCAAACTCAAGAGGGGTCATAGTTTGGAATCTTGGCTGGGCTTTGTAGTTTGCCTGCTCTTCTTGAGCATGTGAGGTTTTTCTCTCTAAGTTTGCTCTGACAGTCTAAAAACAAGCACGTATAGGTTAACTGGATCTTCAACATAACCCTTAGGTATGTGTGTGCATGTTTGTGTGTCTGTAATTGGCTTCTTTATAGGATCTTTTTGGCATAAACACCTACATTACCAGGACCAGTAATCCTTTTGAGGACCAAAGACCAGTCCTAATGTGATGGAACTTCATTTTTTGGGTTAAGGGTTAGGTTTACGACTGACACATGAAGCGATTGGGGTTAGGGTTAGTTATATTCTGGTGGGTGGTTGAGTTTAGTGTTGAGTTCAGGGTTAGGCTACAGAAATAACTGGAAGTCAATACATAAACTTGTGTGTTTGTGCATGTGTCTTTGTGTTGACCCTGTGATAGACTGGAGATCTACTCAAGGTGTACTCCCACCGCTTGTCTGCTGCTGCTGGAGACAGGCACCAATTCTCTGAACATGATTAAACAGGTACAGAAAATTGACAGATGGGGAGCCACTAGTCCTTATGATGAGGGAGCAATCTGTCCAAACATGACCGTGACACCAATAAGGACTGTATGGGGTTAACCCCCTTTTTTGCAGCAATAACAGTTTACACTTTTTATAAATTTTAAAGGAAATACTTTACATATGATTTTGGTTTATATCTGTTAGAATTTATACTCATTCAATCTGTAGAGCTTTTATCAGGTCAGACATGGATGTTGGGTGAGATGGTCTGGCTCGCAATCTCCATTCCAGTTTGTCCCAAAGACTCTCAGTGGGGTTGAGGTCAGGATTATGTGCAGGCTGGTCAAGTTCTTCCACACTGAGCTCATCAAACCATGTCTTCAGAGTTCTTGTTTTGTGCACTGGGGCACAATTGTGTAGGGATGTGGCAGCATGAAGGTTCAGTGGTTAGCACCGACGCCCCACAGCAAGAAGGTCCTGGGTTCGATCCCCGGTTTGGACCTGGGGTCTTTCTTTGTGGAGCTTGCATGTTCTCCTCATGCTTGCGCGGGTTTTCTCCGGGTACTCCGCTTTCCCCCACTGCTAAAACATGTACAATAGGTTGCCTTCAGGCCCAGGCCTCCCTTGAAAAAGAGATGYGAGATCTCAACGGGACTTGCCTGGTTAAATAATGGTAAATAAATAAGAAGACAAAATAAACTTCCCAAAAAGTGTTGCCACAAAGGTGGACGCATAAAATTGTCCAAAGTGTCTTGATTTACTAAAGCACTCAATTCCTCCCACTGGAGGGAAAAAAAATGCTCAAACCATAATGGAAATGCCCGAATCACCAATTAACAGGTGTACCGGTAGTTAAAAATCTGAGAAACCACAAATAGAGTAATTTTACTTTTTTTTTTTGAATTTTAAGTAAAACATATACATGTAACTAAAGCTGCCAATTCATTGAAACTGGGTATAAAGTGTGAGAAATAATGACACATTTTTTCATGTTAAATCAAGTATAAAGATTGCATAACGGAAATCTGTAAATGAAGTACAAGTCCTTCAAAGATCTCCTTAAGTTCAGCTTTTAAGTAAATGTTCTCAATCATGTTCCATAGATGAACAGTCCTTTAAACTGTCGCCTTTTAAATTTTACAGACATGCAGCTCTTGACCTGCCTTTCATGAAATTTTGCAAGCAGGAAGGTGATGCTGAGAGTCTTGACATAAAGGAAGTGATAACAGGGTATGTTCTATCAATTTAWGCTAAGCATAATCACATGAATACTTGACTCTTGATATAAATGCATATAGAGCTACTTTTCAGTATGTTTTCTTGCTTCCTTTTCATTTTTTTAAAATAACAAGCCTTGAGTTTTAGAGTGTCTTTCTTGCGGTAACTGCTAGTATGATCACCAAAGACTGTAGCCAGCTCAGCGTGTCCAAACCCCTGACACTGAAGAAGAATGACAAAGAGTAAGAAATAAAATGATAAGGTGGAAAGCAGGGACTGGATTCGAAGGAGACACTGAGCGAAAACGAGGGAGAAACAGCGAGCGGCCGAACGAGAAGATTAGATAGACACTGGCTGTGAGGGAGAGCAGGAGCGTGAGATGGGGATATGAAAGCAGGATGGATGGAGAGAGTGGCGATAACAAATCAGCTATCTTGCAGAAACAGGCCTGTGTCTGTCTCACCTGCAATGGCTGCACACACTCACTCTAATTGCCCAAACACAATCATGTGAGGTAAACAAGTGGCCGTTTGAGCGGTGGACAGTTGCATCATGTGCGTCACCGGCGCTGTGTTACCATAGTAATGGGAGCTTTTTTTTTATCTGATCCAGGGTCAGCTTTTATTTACATCAACGCCATGTTGACTGTTTCAAACAGGCGTGTGAGGGATGGACACCACCCCCTCCCACACAAAGAAAGGAAGAGAGGGTAGTGATTCAACAACAAATTTGGTCCAAGTTTGTCTTTGCTCACATTTTGTGACGACCCCCTCCAGCCTGATGATGTTGGGGTGGTCGAACTGTCCCATGATGGAGGCCTCGGATAGGAAATCCCTCCTCTGTTTGTCCGAGTATCCCGCCTTCAGACTCTTGATGGCCACATAGATCTCCCTCTTCCCCTGCACGCGCAGGCGCCCGCTGCACACCTCACCAAACTCTCCTACACACACAAAATCCAAAGAGCTTGTAACAGAAATGATTTGTTTTATTAACACAGATGTACAGATTTACAAAGAAAAATGGGGAGAAACTGTGCAGCTCTTTTCTTTAGGCATTAATAACACTTAACAGACTTCTGAGTAATTTTCTGCTCTTTTACTGCCAACTTACCTGCTCCAATGACTCTCTCTATGTGAATATTGGAAGCATCAATCTCTTTGGCGAAGTCTCGGACTGCCTGGTTAGGGTCTTCGTAGGTGTGAGGATGGATGTAAGTTCTGCTGCCTGGAAGTTTCACTGCATGAGTGAAAATGCAGAGGAATGGTCAAACAGTCGTATTCATTTTCAACAATCCCAGAATATTTTGGAGAAAAAATAAAAGTTGGGTGTGTGACCAAGTTTTCTTGGTACCGGTCTTTATTACTAAAACCTGTGGGGAAATGCTTTGCTACTAACGGAAATTGTTCATCTATTTGTGTAAACTGTGGGTACTGTGGGATAAATCTTGTGCCGGCTGGGGTTGAGTTTGAATTGCTCAGATTGAATCTGAATGTGCATAATTTGAAATTGAATGCGTTGGTTTGAAAATGAATTTTTCTCAATTGAAACTGAATTTAGTGGTTTGAAACTGAATTTAAAGTTTTGTATCTGAATTAATTTGCTTTGAAACTGTATTTTGGTTTATTAAAAATTCAGTTTGACTACTTTCACTTTCAGTTCCAAAATTCAGATTTTTGTGTCACATCCTGGTCCTTGAGAAAGCCAGCCAGAGTAATCAAACACAGATCCACAGATTTATGCTTCATGTCAATGAAGCTTCCTTCTATAATGTAAGAGTTGATGCAATCCACTGTAAAAGTGACAAAAACAGACAGTTATTTTATTGCAGTGATTAATTTTACCTACATGTAGAAAATGTTACATTTACATCACATCATGGATCACATATTGATCAGATGCTGCTGCTGACTGATCCACTCGTGTTTGTGCTCTAGAGGTGTCCCGATACCGATACCAGTATCGGAATCGGGTCCGATACCAGCATCAAGTACTCGTACTCGTAAAAGCCGGCCGATACTCTTAACCGATACTCTTAACCGATACCGCTTTTGTCCCCTTTTTTGTCTCCTCCTGTGCTGCGCTGCAGCACAAAGGGTAAACAACAATCCATACCAGGCGGGGGCGCTAACGCACTGACAAGTTATTTCCGACCGCACCCCCGAATAACGTTGGTTACGTATTGTAACCCCAGATTCTATGAGTGTAAGCGCAGCCCTCTAAGGCTATCGCAGACGGGTACCCCCGTGCATGCGCGTACGCGCACGGGGGTACCCGTCTGCGATAGCCTTAGAGGGCTGCGCTTACACTCATAGAATCTGGGGTTACAATACGTAACCAACGTTATTCGGGGGTGCTGTCGGAAATAACTTGTCAGTGCGTTAGCGCCCCCGCCTGGTATGGATTGTTGTTTACCCTTTGTGCTGCAGCGCAGCACAGGAGGGGACAAAAAAGGGGACAAAAGCGGTATTGGTTAAGAGTATCGGCCGGCTTTTACGAGTACGAGTTCTTGATGCTGGTATCGGACCCGATACCGGTATCGGG